TCTGTGGGCCCGACCCCCTTACCGTGCACCCCCCCCACATCCCTATAAATTGCATATCGTTGTGTTCCTTGTGACAATTTATTAAAAAAAAGCCAATGTTCCCACAAAAAAAAGTGAACGCACTGCCCCAAAATGGCGTCCAAAGATGGCGGATTGACGACTTTGACTTTAGTTAGTTTTTTGGTCACTGAGAATCAGCATTAAGCTTAATTTCCTCATAGTTGGTCTTTTATTAAAGCTGAATAGTTATAGAATAATAAAACATGAAGAAATATTAAAAAATAATTGGCCAAGGCTATGAAAAACACCAGTAAAGTCAATTTTTTTAACAAAAAAATTTTCAAGTTACAAATCAAACGTCGTTTGTAATTAAACGGCCTACAATAACGCAAAACGTGCTGAAATAAACCATCTGGAGAATATATTTCTCTTTCTGAAACGCTAATTATTTTTTACAAATGTTTAAGTAGTTCCGTGAAAAATGCACTTATGCGGCAGAAAAGCGGTACTGGCGTGGGTGCCTACAGGCCTCTACCACACCATTCAGTGCCCATAAATGGCTTAGTTATAGTGATATAATAACATTTTTGGTACATTATATTGGTTTTATTAACGAACAAATATTAATGCAATAATTTAATAGTAAAAAAAAAAATTTTAATTAAAAAAAAAAATTATTATTATTTTTTTGAATTTTAACCTCCTTTATTCTATACGTAGGTCGTTTAAGAATACCTCAATTGTAAAAATGGTATAATTATAATAATAAAACTTAATTAAAAAATATTTTGCTAAATATCTTGATTTTTTTTTATTTAAAGTTTGCAATTTAACACTGTGGTTTTGAATTTTTATATACTTCCCAGGAAATGAGTCATATTCATACCTTTTTTATAAACTAAAATAATATATACCTAATCTGAACTATATATAATGAATAGCTACCGGGTTGTTTAGTAAAACTCATATATCACTAATTAAAAAATTAATTTTTATTTCCTCTATTTTGTGCAGAAGTTGGACTATATCATAAATAAATAGGAAATTTTAATATTGAATGAATTATTCTCTATGTACAAAGAAAGATATAAAGGGTGACCCTATAAGTTCTTCTGTAAACCAAAACTGATTGTTTGGATTTGATCTCAAAATGAGGAAAAACGTGAACTTAAACGAGAAAATTGGAAAAATACATTAAGCGAACGAGTAAGGAAGTGCCAAAACCTCGGAATAGATAAAAAGGACCAGTTATATCCATTATATATCTAAATGAATGTATAGTAGATAGATGAACAGAATATTTCAAGATGCTGCTAAAACGGGATCAATTGCAGTATGGATGATATTAAGTTGACGATGTAGGTTTATTATGTTGAAAACCACTTTATTTTCGATTGCTGAAGGTGCACATCGGGGCTATATTAACTTTGAAGATGAATATAGAGATGTACATCGAGAAAGTTATAGCTCATAGCTTTCCTTCTGTTTAGTGGATTTTCAAAAGATTTTTTAAGGTATCTTATATTAGTTGTAGCTCGTTATGCTTGAATTGTTCGGAATTTGTACCATATCATAAAAAAATAGGAAATTTTAGTATTGAATGTATTATTCTCCCTGCACAAAGAAAGATGGAAAGGGCAAAACCGAACTGCTTTGACAGTTTTGCGCGTACATAGGCAACAAGCATATTAGAAAATAATATGAAAGGACTGTGGTTTTTACTTTTACAAGAAAGGAGGTACTAGGAAATGTAATACCCATCAAGACCCATTCCTGTTTAGTGTACCAAACAAATTATACACAAGAATCGTAGAAGCTGGAATAAGAAATATTGTCGAGTGATATGGATTGAGAAACTCAAGTTGCACATTGGAAGAGAAGTTGAAAATTGGGACTGTCTTCACTTTCAGGGACAATTCAGGGATGTGGGGGGGGGTGCACGGTAAGGGGGTCTGGCCCACCGTGTAATTCTTCAATCTAGAAAAGAATGGAATCTTTAAATCAACAAGAAAGCTTATTATTTACATTTAAAGTCCAACCTCTTCAGAACTGATGCGTTAACACTAACTGTTTATTTTAACATTTTTATTTTTCAAGTTTCATTGACAACTTATATTCGGTACGTATGAACACATACTTACAAATGCTACAATACAAATATGTAACCAACAAAAAATTGAGGGCAGAGGTGATATGACGATGTTAAGTTTTTGCAATTTTTCCTAGCCAGTGTGAATGGATTTAGGAACTGACATTGTCAGGAATACTTCCTCAACACTGTACCTATTATCATGGTTTTTTCAATTGCCACTTCTGTCATCAAATGGACGGAAGTTGGGTTTTTTTTGTCCATTAATTGTGTTTTTCTTCATCTTTCCCCAGTAAGATAACAAAAAGACCAGGGATTTTAAAATATCATAAAAAATAATTTTTCCTACCTCAGCAATGTTTTCTTACGGGAATATTTCTACATATTATTATTTTCTTTTTAAGGTTAATAGTTTAGCCTGACGAAGGCTTTGGGCCGAAACGTCGGCAAAAAATAAAAATAAACATAATTTATTTGAATTTAATTTTTTTTTGTTTTTTACTGGACTCCTCAACCAATCTTCTCTTCAATCATAACGAATAACATAAACAAGAGTGTCTATGAAACTTTATTATCATACAACTTCATTAACATAGAAACCATAAATAGTTATTAAATTATAAAGAATATATAATAATATTTTTTTTTTCTGACCCCCAGAAACATTATTTAAAACTAATTACAATATATAGCTAACTAATAAATGTATATACACAATATTCATTGAACCTTTGCTTACCCACAGGTATTTTTAGGTAAGGGTAATATTTATTTAAAGGTAGAAGTCGCATTAATAGCGTCTCTCTGGGCCCATCTGGAACACCCAGAATGAGCCCACCTGGTGAATGATACTTGCAGGGCTGGTATCACAATTCACCCTTGCCTATCTTACGCGACGCAGACTTCTTTATCTTTCCGCTCACGACATTTTAACCAAACTAATATTAGTCGTTAACCAAAACCATTGTAAAAGAAGTGGGTCTCCTTTGGAGTTAGCTGCACGGATTTGTTCACTCAGAATATTTAAGTGAGAAAGTTTCTTCCCTCGCATTTGCCTATTTTTCGCTTTATATCCTACCCTTTCTTTCCTGATATCTGCGAAGAATTCGCATATATTTCCAGTTTTCTTCAATGGTTTGTAATCTTCCTTTGAGGAATTATCTTATTACCGCTCTTATTATTTTGTTTGTATTGTTTCTGGCGGCTGTGTATTTGTCCAGCATAACTTGATAAGTTTGTGCTAAGCACAGAACTTTCCTGCTTACTTCCACCGACTTTTCGCATGGTTCTGTTAACCATTTCTTGGGTTTTCTTTTTCCCTGAATCCCTGTTACTTCCTTAGCTGTTTGTTTTATATCTTACTCTAGTGCCTCTCAATATTGGTCAACCGTGAGTGCTTCCTCGTTCAAGGGTTTATGTATTTTTCAGCTTAATTTGGAATTCTGCCTGTACTATAGGGTTTTTCAAATTACGGTCTTCGTACTTCTTATATGCCATTTGATCCCCAATTCGGCGGATTCGCTTCAGCCTCTGACAGAGTTTCATTCTAATCAGAGTATGATACGAATCACAGTCTGCATACTTGAATATATTCTATATAGATATATAGCATAGTTTTTTAATACATTAATCATATATTAATCATACAGTTATATACAGTATAAATATTTTAAACTTTATTTTATTATAATATTTCCTTGCCTCTCGGCCCTCCAGATTTTTGTAAGAAGTAGCACAATACTTTTACCACTTATTATCTTTCTTCGGTCTTCCCTTCTCTTGATTAGTGGAGTTTGAAATGATCAACCCTACTAATTCCTTCCACCCTTATACGAAAGATTGTGGTTAAATTCCAGATTGTGGTTCCTAAGCTGGAAAATGAGGTATTAAGGCAAGCTGCAGACATAATAAAAAAAACCTCCAGTCAACTGTTATGAGGCATTGCAGGCTCGTCTCATAGAAGCCTTACTGAATCGGAGAATAGTCGTATTTTACAGTTTCTAGAGGGTCAACAACTTGGCGATGAGAAGCCCTCACAACTTCTACGTAATATGAGAAGGTTGGCTGGCGACAATGCATCCGAGTATTTATTTTCGGCCAGTAGTTGATGGGAGGCAATTCACCATCTTCACAGATTACATATGAGCACCGGCAGAAGAACAGTTCAGCAACACCTATGCGGATCCGTTGGCTTAGGTTCATTTCCCAATTTTCAACGGATATCCAACACATCGAGGGCATCGCCAATCCAGTCGCAGACGCACTATCCAGGATTGAGGAGTTATCCCTAGATGAGGACTGGGATCAGTCAGCGAAGGAGCAGGAAATCGACGGAGAGCTTCCCAAGCTACTCGCCCAGGAGAATCTGCAACTCAAGAAATGTATTCTCCCTGGTGCTATTCTTCCCATCGGGTGCGAGACAACTAAGTCTCAGGCAAGGCCTTACATCCCTTATGCCTACCGTCATAGCTGTTGCCATGACAACAGCCGTCCAGAAGTGAGAGCCTGTCGACGTCTTGTGGCAGAGAAATATTTTTGGCCGTCTCTCAATGAAGATGTCGCCAACTGAGATCGCGCATGCATTTCTTGTCAGCGTTTCTCCTCTCGTTGCTTTTTCTGGCTGCGGACGATTTGAACATACCCACATTGATCGGCCCTTTGCCGTCGTCTAAGAAAATGGGTTATTGTTATTATTATTGTCCACCATGGTGGACTTTTCACACGCTGGCCTGAAGAATATCACTAATAATAATAAGAATATCACTTTAGTGTCATTTTAGTTCCCTTACTAGACAGGACTGCGGAGACTGTCGCACGGGCTTTCTTTGAGACCTGAATTTTCCGTTTTGGTTCGCCTCGCAGACTCACCACTGAACAAGGGCGGCAATTTGAGTCTGCTCTACTTACAAATATGCGAAAGTTCCTTAGGACTGATATGGCTCGCACCACTGCTTACCATCCCCATCGTTCGCTAGAAAACGCCCTGACTGCATATCTGGACTCCGGCCACCGGATGGACCACTTGAATTCGGTTCTACTTGGCCTCCGTTTCGCCATCCAAGAGGACATCAACGCCAGCGTCGCCGCTCAGTATATGAGCAACCTCTTCGCCTTCCTGGAGAGTTGTTAGTTACTCGCACTGGTCCGCAAGATCCACAGGAGCATCTTGCGGTCTGGTTGAGAGATGTCATGTCTACTCTGCGCCCAGCGCTGTTGGCACCTCATCCAGGAAATAATTCGTGCAACCTGCACTGAACATTTGCATCCATGAGTTTCTGCGCGACGATAGGGTTAGGAAGCCGCTCCTTCAACTTTACTTAGGCCCTTACTTAGTAACCAGTAGGAGTGAGAAGGTGTACCAGATACAGATGCACGACGGCAACAAAATGCAATGTATCCCTGGACTGCCTCAAGCGGGTATTTCAGCTCTAGGACCCTAATTCAGAAGCAGCATCGTCGTCTTCTTTGCGACAGCCTGAATCACAACCACATCCTAAACCACAGACAGCCTGATTCACAGCCACAGCCACACTCTGGTACATCGACGTATGTTACGAAGGTACCTGGACCGCGTTATTGGGGGGGGGGAGTAATGTTACCACACTCCACTTGTGACGTCATGACGCCTTCAGTAATCAGTTCTGCAGCCAGCTTCACTTCTTTCTACATCTTTGGAAATCAATCGTCTCGGCTCGGTACAGAATATCGATTGAGTTGTTTTAATAAACAGATGATAAAAAAAGAGACAGTTTAGTGTGATAGAAAAAATCACAGTTTTTGTCGCTGAGGTGAAAAATTTACAATTTTTACCTAGCGGCATAACAATTGCCTGGGCCCATCACTGTATTATATTATCTGTGCTGGAGTTGCAACTCTTTTTAAGTTTTTGTAAAGTGGCTAGTATAATTATATTTTTGTATTTTTCCCTTATAAAACTTTACCTTTTTTTTCCCCTTTACTTTGTAATTAATTTTTCTGCAGCTGCGTTTCCTCATTTTTGTATAACGTTATTTTTCTTTTTGTTTAAACTTTATTACTCATAGCTTTTGTATTGTTTCCCAAAAAATTAAATTTTATATATCAATTGTTTATGGTGTATTTATTGAGTGAACCTACCAGAATCCCTTAAATGGTATTTTATCTCCAAATAGGTAGGGATAATTTTCGAGAGCACAGCTTGCGCGGTCCCTCTTCATATAATGGTATGGGTTACCTATTGGTCTGTACCTTGATAAAAAGTCACTTTATTCGGTTCCAAATTCTCCAATAACCGCTTTTCAAAAGTTTTAAAATATTTTAAACCTAGTTGGGAGAAATAGTAGCCAGTATTTTTAGCGGATTGTTAATAAAAATAATACTAACTTTATTCATCTGAGATGTGGCTGCAGGTCCTAAAATTTAGTGCAAAATTGAAAATTTACTAAACTTCAAGATTATTAATTTTATCTTTATCCATCGAACAACAAATGAATTTTTAAAAAAAAATCTGTAAATGTTTGTCAGTACAGCTTCATAAACATTTCTATTAGTTCCTTAATTACCAATATTTCAATTACTATTATTTATCATTTCAGGAAAAAAGCAACAGAAGAAGCTGGTTTTCAATTATGATCTTGCAATGGAAAAACGCAGAACTATGCAAAAAATGTAGGCAGTTTTTGATAAATTCAATATTGGGCTATCGGGTAACATCTTTCACAATTCTCGAACATTTCATCAAATTTAATAAAAGACAGTACTTGTTATCTCCAGATTAAAAAGTTTTAACTTCATATCACTAAAGTTTAAATGTAATACATCTTTCTATTGTTCGTTGACTACTATATTTTACAAATATTCTTAGCGCTTAACTACATTAATCTTATTTGTTAAACGGAATTGTTTTTTCAATATTTTACAAATTTTGCTCATTTTTGGAATAACTAGAAAAAGTTATGTTTAAAATAATATTGGCGTATCAAGAAAATTTAGGATGTCCGTAACCGAAAGTATTGTTTGAAAGTAGTTGATGGAATTTGATAAGATTGATGCACTTGTTAATATAAACAAATAAAATACTCACCAAGAGGCAGCAATTAAATATTAGGCTATAATTGGAAAAATTCCAACCACACAGCCTTATTTCACCAAAATGTAGGTAAATAAAAAAATCCCGTCAACATTCCACCAATTCAGGCATCATCAGGACAGAAGGGAAAAGCAAATTGAACATTACATTACTTCGTGACCTGTAATCGTATACTGGTAGGAAGGTAAGGTAACACAGCTCAGGAAGGTTTAAAGGGGACCCTACACGGTAATTCATGAATGAACGTCACAAGAAGTTCCAAGATTGCCCGCTATCGCTTTGATCATGAAGACCCTCACACGTTCAATCATTACTGATCATTACTTATCGTTGCTAATACCAATTTAGCGCAGTTGTGAACAAAGAAACAGCATAGATATGCTTATTTGGACATTGTCATTTATAATATTGGGCATCAAAAGAAAAACGGAGATATAATAATTACTTCCTAGTGCCTGAAAATCGTTTTGACAAAAGTTGGTAAAATATAAGTCTACTACTTACAAAAATTAAGGAAAAGTATTGCGAAAATAATAAATTTGTTGAGGAAAATGGAAAAAGAACTGATAAATATACACAACGTTAAAGTTTTTTTTTTCCTAAAGTAAATTGTGAAGTTTCCTCATTTTTTTTTTAATTTGTTGCCCTCTTGACTATTTAAAAGAAATAGTTGAAGATGGTTTAAAATTATAAACAAGGGATATGAAAAATTATTTAAATATTTACATATAATGAAAATTAGAAATTTATAATGGTTGTGAGGCCTAGGTAACCTAACCTATCCAGCAGTATGGTTGGTCTCCCCAGCCCATATGTTTAGTCGGTCTGCCCTCCACTTCTCGTGAATGAACCTTTGATTTCCGGATGTTCGGAAATCCGCAGCGCACCACCATCAGTACTTCATTCACTACCTTACACGACAATTCGGAACGTCATTAGTGCAATTCCGATTGACCGTATAGGGTCCCCTTAATAATAATTTAATAACCTTCGAATTTGATGATAACCTCCCTTAGCTTTACCATACCTTCCTTCCAGTAAGCTATTGCAGGTTACGGAGTGGTGCGATGTTCGATTTGCTTTTCACTTCTGTCCTAATGATGCCTAAATTGGCGAAACGTTGACTTTTTTTTTATTCTTAGCCTGCATATTAGAAACATAAGGCTGTGTGGTTGAATTTTTTTCAATTATTATCTAATTATTGATACATATGTTTTCATTTTTTCAACAATCCGTAACTTCCTTCGAACTTTAGGACAAATTCGGGCTAAGTTAGATTTTTTCTATCTGAAAAATTACAGTAACATCAATATAGTACTAGACTAATAGGTAACTCTGTTGTGAGACTCTTGCGCAAGACCAAGACTGAGTGCTCGTCTTGGTATCACGTTTGGACAAGACTGGAGGTATAATCACGGAAAATACGTTCAACATGCCAAAGCAGGTATTGGAGGGGAACCTATCAAACTGATGCTCTTCAGAGTACGTCTCTGAATATTCTGAAAGTCTCATAATTTATAATTCATTATACATTAAAACGACTGCAAGAGTGCTGCTATCTGTGGAGTGGAAGTGGAACTCCTTCCACCCCTCAAGTATCACTTGAACGGGAAAAATCAGATCCATAGTGCTGGTTCAGCAGACCTTAAACAGCAGATCTTAAAAAATATTTAAATATGTTTTATTGGCAATTTAGTTTTCCAAGTAAATAGATTAAACATCGAGGAATTTACTGTCACAAGGAAGAAACAGGGAGGATGAAATGAAGATATAAAACCCATATACCTCAATAGAACCACTTTATCACTAAATCTACAATTAATCTACCAGATTCATTTCGTTCCTGGAAAAACAATTAACAAAACTGTATCATGTTCCAAACTAAACTAACCAACATTGCCTATATTGTACTATGAAATTTTACGCATTCCACCCAATCCAATATTATTTATATCACTTATAATCTCTATTTTATAAAAAAGATTTTATTGACTTTCATACTTTAAATTATTTTATCTCAATGCTCCTTAATTTGTCACTTATAAAATAATCCATAAAGACCTCAATGTTCCATATGTTTCCGATTTGGCCAAATCCAGATACCTATCCTTCCATAATAAACTTCATAACCATCCGAATCCTCTTGTTTCTAACCTTGCTTCCTCTTCGATTCCTGATAACCCTCCGAGGCGTCTGAAAAGAAGATGGCCTCGTGATCTTCTCATGTAGACAAATTATTAGAGTTCTACCAGTGGGTAGTTTCTCAACAAGCGTGTTTCATGTGATAATATTTCTCTGTACACATTTACTTGATGTATTCATACTAATACAGTTGTAAATATCATAATAAAAGTTAAAAAAAAAAAAATATTTTAGTATTAGAAAAGTATGAGATAGCATGAGCTCGGTAATTATATTACAAATTATACACTAAATATTTGTAAGCTCCTGGTTTCTCCGACTTTTCTAATACAAAATAAAGATTTCAGACTAAAAATTTGTAAGCGTTATAGTTTTTACTTTCACTTAACTAATATGATATATATGATATTGAGAACGTGAAAATTTTTTTATCTTAGTTTTCAACGAAAATAAACATTTTGAGGTCCCATGAGTCCAAATAACCAAGTCCCGCAAAATGGTGTATGTGCATGTGAACATTCTAGCTGAAAAACGAAATTTGTCCGAAACTGATATTACGTATTTAAGATAGCTATATGCCTTAGATGTGACAGCAACTTTTTTCATAAAATCGGCTTACTAGAAGTGCCGCTTTATATCAACTGTTAAATCATTTTTACAATTTTCTCAAAAATGGCTCTAACGATTTTGATTAAACTCTTATCATTGTATAATGAAGTAATCTTTAATAACAATTAGGTCTTATCCTCATTGATGTCACTTTACAGGACTTAAATGCCCAATGTTTCCACTGAATACATCTTCCTCTAAAGTATCTTTAATATGTTTTTTTTTTTTTTAATGAACTCTCTTTTATTGATAGTAAATAAAAGCAAAAATGGCTAAATATGAAGTTTGAAAGAATATAATGATTGGTAACT